AAACGGCTTGATCTGAAAAGAGCTGTTTTTGACAGGGTAAAAAGGTGTTTTTTACACTACCATTGAGAAATTTTAACCAAACTATGTTACAGACTTTTCATTAAGACCCCAAAGAATCATATAAACTTGTGGAAAATGAGCATCCTATGACCCCTTTAAGGTAATAAAATGAAATATAACACTTATAATAAAGAGAATTGACAACAACAACAAAAAAGAACATTATATTGGCCCCACTTTCAAACATTTTCCTTTAAAGAAAAGCACAGCGTCCTTTCTTACATAATGAACTGGTTGCAAAAACCTGCTACAATGGAGGAAAATGAAGGAGAAGACTCGGTCTATTTCTGTGCTGTAAGCCTGTATTTGTGCTGCAGCTGCGCAGGCGGATTGGTCGAAGGATGCACATCCTTTATTTGATTTGAGAGAGGACCATAGGCACAAAGTCATATCATGGCATCAGAAAAACGTAAGTACACATACATTGCTTTTTAAAATATTTGCTTATTAAAGACTGAGCATGCATTTCATCGAGCAGCAGTGATACCAAATATCTGACCTTCATGTAAAAAGATTGCACATCGAGTTTTAAATTTATGGAATGATGTATAAAGATGCCAAACAACATTGCTGTCGTTTCATTGCACAATAAAGCCCTGATTTATTACATTCCACAGTAGCATTACATTAGGTTCAAAGTTCTGATATTTCACTGTAAAATGTATTCTTTTAATAACTTTTAGTAATAACACTTATGTTTATTGACATATACTTAACATGCATGTAATATCTTACTGATATTTATTAATAAGGTATAATATATGCAGCTAATCTGTAAATCTTTATGAAATGTTTGTCAATGGCAATGGTTTATGCCTTGAAAATGAAGCCAACTCTAAATGTGTTTTACTAATTGTTCTCTCGTGTGCTGAGGGGTGTTGATTCATAAGGACGACATGAGTGTGAGCTGCAGAAGAAAGCAACCTGAGCTCTTCAAATCTGAAAACACACGAAAGCCGCAGAAAGACAGCTTGTTTGCTCTTCGAGTCATCTTTCTGGATGATAGCGAGCATGTTTTTGAAATGGAGGTGAGATAATTCTGCTTTAATAAAAGTTTGCGCCACCGCATCTCAGAATGATTTAAAGACTGCTTTAAAGTCGTTTTCTACACATTTTCCAAAAGCATGCTGGATAACTCCATTATTGCTTCTTATTTTATGCCATATATGCTGAGGGGCATCTTTTGAGTGGGATGTTGGACAATAAGTCATGCAAGTGTGTGTGTGTGTGTCTTTCTGGTGAGTGGTCTAGAATACCAGGACAGTTTGGCTTAAGGGTTTGCAAGAGAAAATGTATGTCAGCGTCCCAATTTTTCTGTGCACGCTTGAGTTTCTGACCAAAAGGCCGCATGTTATCAATATTATATTATTTTCCTAAATTCTCATTTCACTGTGGCTGATATCATGGATGAGTTTATAATAGCAATATTATTGAGTTCAGCAGTGACTTGATTTTGATTTTTTTTATAGCAAAGGGTGCTGGGAAAGGATTTCTTCAACGCAGTATGTGGACACCTAAAACTTGTGGAAAGTGAATACTTTGGGCTTGAGTTCCGACATCATTGTGGCAGTTATGTAAGTTATATCTTAGTAAAACACTAATATAGTATAGATGACGTGTTAATATTTCTTTGAGCTGAAGTCATTCATGTTCATTGTTTTCATAGGTTTGGTTGGAACTGCTTAAGCCTCTTGCGAAACAGATTAAAAGTAAGTCTGTAAACATTAAAATCATAACTCAAAATAGACTATAATAGTTGTTTACAATATTGTTTTGCCAGTTATATATGTATGTTAATTTATTAATTATATGTTATTGTACTACATAAGTTATTGTATGATTTTAGGCCTGGTTTGCCATCTCATTTAGGCGTATTTGGTGCTTTATTTCAGAGCAAATCCAAAACTCGTTTACTAATAATTGTGTGGATTATTTGTACTTATATGCACCAAAAACTTTTGCATGGATAATTTCCATTGGATTCACGCTTATGCAGATGTATTTGATCTTTACCTCGGCTCGTTCTTATGTTAAAGTCACCATGAAATCAAAATAGACAATTCTTATTTTTTTTATGAACTGCTGCAATGTTTGTTGTAAGTGATTTATCCATGCATATCATTTTTTTTATGTGCCTTTTGCATGGATAATTTCCATTGGATTCACGCTTATGCAGATGTATTTGATCTTTACCTCGGCTCGTTCTTATGTTAAAGTCACCATGATATCAAAATAGACAATTCTTATTTTTTTTTATGAACTGCTGCAGTGTTTATTGTAAGTGATTTATCCATGCATATCAATTTTTTTATGTGCCCTTAAAGGGACAGTTCACCCAAAAATGAAAATTTGCTGAAAATTTACTCCAAAATGTAGATGAGTTAGTTTCTTCATCAGATTTGGAGAAATGTAGCATTGCATCA